ATAAATAATTTTAAATTAGGGCTATTTTTGTCTTTTTGATTTATTTTTCTTTTTTGTATTTTAGTTTTTTTATTTAATAAAACTATATAATTTTTACAGACCAAAAAATTATGTTATTTTGTTAATTGTTTATGATAAAATAATCAAGATATTATTAATTCAGCTAGTTTTTTTATATTTTTGGTCATTTTTAATATAATTAACTATTTTTAAGTTATTCTTATCAAACATATATATGTAATTTTATTAAAAGGATGTATAATTGTTTCGTCTCATAAGTCATTCAATTATATCAAACAAACGTATGTCTTATATAAAATGTGTTACCAAAAGTTTATAAAATTATACGTTATAGAAATAAAATTGCCTTATTTGGTAAAAATAGTCCGATATAGTTAATTGTTTGGTCATATAAAAAATTTAATCGTCTAGTAATTAATCACACTCTCCCACGAGATAAAACAAATATCTCATATATAATAACATTTAAGTGGTGGGGATTATTTTAAATATTTAAGCACATATACAAATTAAGCCCCTCTACTTATCATAACCTTTCAAAAATCACCCCGAACTTTTATATTCGAATACCCGGTTATCACATTATTAAATCTACTTTTTTTTACTTGATTCATTTAAAATCTTGTTCATTAAGTTAATCATCAACTCTTTCCGGCTTTGGCGATGACCACTAGCGAGAATTATGAAGTTTTTTTTGCGGGTTTTGCGTATTGTAAGTTGGTATCTTACCTCATACACCATAAGACTTGTATATAGTGTTTAGGGGGCCAAAATGCCAAAAAAAAGGTCAAAAATAAAATGCAAACGGTCACAAATGGCTAGTATAACGACTACAAACGACTAGTTTTTTTTTTAAATTTCTGGCGGGGCCAGGTTGGTCCCATAACCAGTCCGGGCCGGTCCCTTGTACCCGACCAAAAGTGAAACCGGTCCCGAACCATAGTCCTATAATCGGTCCATACTGGTTCTGGGCTGGGTCAATTCTTTGTTGGTACTCCTGCGGTCCCATGCCAGGCGGGGCAGAAATGGCATGTCTACGTATGGCCATGTTGATGAAGTTTCACTTATTTACAAAAATGCCACTATGTTTTTGTGAGCCATCAAATAAAGAACACATCTAAAGGCTTGGAGTTATTCTCACTGTTTCACCGAACACACTCTCTCTCTATAAATTCATATTGTGAAATCATCATGTTATTTTGTGTAATTTGATTCAAAAGAGAATGAGGGCTTGATAGTTAGGCTATAATGCAGGCTAAGAGGTGTGAAGTACACATTCGTATAAATTAGCTAAAACTCGAAATTCATAGATGGCACCATATAGCAAGGACCAATAGGCAAAGTCCTTGGCAGTGGTCCACGAGAGGGGTCAAGAGGATCCGTCCTCATGAGGCTCAGAGCAACACCCTGAAATAAAAACAAAATTTAAGAGAGTTGACACTAACAATTTTTAGTGTCTGGTGGTTGATTAGTTGTCATTCAACAATGTATGGAAAGAGTTGTGAATGCGCCATTAGCTGTTAGAATTTCCTACTGATCAGTTGATGGTTCCACTAATCTAATTAATTTCGTAAGCATCTGGTATTACCTCTAATCTCAAGCAATCATTTTCGTTTAATGGGACATTCACTCTCAGTTTTAGTGTACTAACCTTCACGATTTCTGACTAAATCGTCATATGAAAGTAATTATCCTCGAGTAAATTTCTTAATATTAAGACATAATAGGTTGGAATATTACTTAAAGAAAACGAGCTCTTCCACAATCTCATATTTTTATCCAACCTATTACATTGTTTCTCACCGATCCTATTCCCCCAACACCTTTCTCCATGCACGTTTGTTGTAACTTGTAAGTGTAACATTTGCATATATTGATTTGTTTCTGGTTTTGTATCAAATACATGTAACCTTAAGTAGAGGCGGACCTAATAAGCATCGAGTAGGGTCCCATGCACCAGCTCAAGTTATTTTTGTAAGTGGATTTTTTTTTATGTACCAAAGATATACCCACTAAACTTTAAAGGGTGTTTTGGGATATTAGAAATACAAAAAACGTCTACCAGGAAACCGTTTCCCCCCCTCAAAATCAACCAAAAAACCAAAAAGTTAACCAAAAAAAACTTCAGAAAAAATCCGTCCAAACAGTGAAATTGTAAAAACAAATCGAGTGACTTTAGAAATACGTTTTTAAGCCCAATAAACTTCCCAATAAACTTCTTTTTTACTTTATAATTATTGGACTTGAATTTTGGCCCAAAGTGGAGAAGTACAAGAAAATTTAAGGGCACCTCTTAAAGCCTAGTTGGTGCACTTTTCAGACGGTGAAATGTTTTTCTTGCAATAATCAAGTGAACAGGTGCATAAAAACCCGCTCAGCTACTAATGGGTCCCCCCCTATATAAAGGCCTTTGTTCTCGTTCTTCAAAGTTGAAACGTATCAACAAAATCCCGAATGAAAGTGAAATTCTAGAGAAGGAAAGTGGATTCTAACATCAATAATGTTGCTACACCTCTTATTGCATAGATTTCTATGGACTTACTAACAAACCATGTAAATGTTTGTACTTGGCTTCTGGTAAGAATGCTTCTAAACCGTTGGATGAATGGCTTTTATGATCTAACGGCTACAAAAATCACGGACCTTCAATTGATTGCCGACCAAAAACACTTTCAAACACCTTAATCTTCGCTTTCACTCACCTTCTCGAATGTTTACATACCTTCAATCATTTTTACATTCATAAATTTGTTAAATTTTCAGTCATGGAGATGGAAATAGACCAACGAAGGTAGATGAGGTTAGGTTTCTACGTTCTCACCGTAACTCTTATTCTCACCTTTTTCATACCTAAAAGTTGCTGAATTTTGAGCAAGCTACAAGTCATCATATTACTCTATAAACCAAACCAAACGAACCTAGCATTTCATACCCATAAGTGGAGTCTGAGAAGGATAAGATGGAAGCAAACTTTACTTTTACCCCCAGCTTGAGAAAAGTGTGACCAAAAAGAGAATCATATATGGTTAGCATAGCACTTTGGAAAGATGTTTTATATACCTATCTAACGAGAGTATTATTTCTTCAGCAACGTGTAAGCGGAAACATGTACATCGTAGCACTCTCCATCCCACGATAGGTCTTTTGACATCGCATCCTTTATTTTCTCGTCCCACTGTGATCGCTTGTTCTTCTAAAGGTTTTGAAACACAAAAAAACACACGAAAAATTTCAGTTCTCAACAAAGGAGAAAGAATAGGTGAAGTTAGTAAAGAACAGAAGCGTTTGTTTAGAGATGAAATAACCCACAATTTCATTGAGCGCTTGGCTTAAGGGAACATTTGCAAAGGTGTTTATGATGTATTCCGACAATCTGGTCCTCTGGGAATTAGGATCGATAAAATGCCTGATACAACCAAGTTAACAATTTAAATAAATAAATGTTGAATAAAATGGTCAGCGAACGGTGAAGTCAAGCACCGGGTCTGACGGATTTTTTATTAAATGAATGACCATTCTTACAGATTTTGAGGTATTCTGACATTATTCCGTTAAGCTGAAGCATTCTTAAATCTATCAGAAGGTCATGCATCTAAAAGAATCTCTAAAGTTGTTCTCTTTATATAACCCATCGAGCACATTGTGATAGTTTGCAGAAACAGCTTTTGGCAGAAAGTTCAGTGTTGGCGGTTTTTTGGGCGCCAAAATTGGTTAATTTTTCGCCTATATATTTACCCATTTGTATCAGAATCTAATAGGCCTTTTTTCCATCCATATACACTCTCAAAGGTTAAATATTCATGGAGAGTTCTACGCACACTGCATAATGATAAAACTCTATCTTGAGGTGATCTTAGAAAGAATTTAGTCCGGAAACCATCACTTGGGGGCTAATAATTCGTTAGGCAACATTTGGTACACAGACTTGACCTCCGAGGACAGAACTGGAAGGGACAAGTTGTATGTTTGTTAGCACAACTAGGACAAAAATGTTGCTTTAATTATTTTATATGGTGGTTACTGGTGGTGGTGGAAGTGGAGGTGGTGGTGGTGATAATGGTGGAGGTAGAGGCGGCTATCACCGGTGACTGATAGTGGTTGTCTAATCTTTATATCAAATGCATCCTTAAGGATAGTGATTTCAACGTCCTCAAGATGATCGTTTTTTTCTATAATATTCATATTACACACTTTTTTTTATTTAACAATCAAAAGAAACTATACTTAGGTTATGTTTGGCAAACTAGCTGATAGCAGGGGCGGATGGCCTAAGGGGCCTTTAGGGGCCCTGGCCCCTGTGCTTTTTTTGTCTAGATAGGGTATTGTTCTTGGTCCATATGCTTGAAGTATACTCAAAAAATCAACCGGCCCCTCCACTCTTTAGTCCACTCTTGATCCAGCAACGATGCAGATGACAGCGAAAGCCGGAAGGCGGACATCGACGAGAGTCATGAGTGACGAGGCGACGAGTGGACGACGACAGGCAGGCCGCAGCACCGCTGCAGCGACGCAGGCGGCGAGCTCTCGACGACGGTAAGTCCTTCTGTAACCTAATATGTTCTGAATTTCCTACCAGCTGTAGAGTATAGAGATAAGTTATAAAATTAAACCATTGGTGATTGGACATTGGTCTTCTCCCCTGTTCTGCTGCACTTTTTGTTTTGAAATCAAAACCCTAAGATTAGGCCAGTAAATAGTTCTTGTTCCTAGACCAGTGTAAAGATTAAAGAAGTTGAAGAATGTTCTCAATATCGAAAAAAAACCTTATAGAAACCCAAAGAGGCAAAGAGTGATTAGTAGAACTTCTTGAAGAAACAAGTTGTGTGTGTGTTTTCAGTAAAAGGTTGATTGGGAAGAAGGGTATCTATAACACCCTCAAAAGAAACAACATCCAAAATTGAGCAAAAAGGAAATAGTACAGCCCCTCGCGAACCAGCAGCCTTGCTGCTTCGATTTTCGAGTGTTGCACGACCAAACAGCGGCTGCTAGCTTCCTTTCCTCTTGCTGTTCGGTCAAATAACMACCTGTTGTTTCTTCCTTTTTCGTCTCCTGCTGGATCAAACAGCAGCTTGCTGTTCTTATCCGTCTGCTGCTCGATCAACAGCAGCTGCTTGCTGTTTCTCCTCCGTCTGCTGCCCGATCTTGCTGTTTCTTCACCGTCTGCTRCTTGACCAAACAGCAACTTGCTTGCTGTTTTCCTCCTTTGCTCTTGCTCTAACCAGCAACTAAGCAGCTGTTGTTKYCCTCTATCAGACCAGGCAACTTCGGTTGCTGCTTCTCATTCAAACCGGGCACAGCTACCACTGCTTCCCCCCCCCCTTTTTCCTTTATCCCTTATTTCATTTTATTACATGGGGGGTTAAGGACCTCATTGAAAGAAGAAAATCCAATAGGTAAGGGTTCTGATGAAAATCCAATAAGAAAATCCAAACCATGGTGCGATTCTGGGTTGTGGATTGCTTTCTGAACCACACTGCAAAG